CTTTATTTCAATCATATATTGAAGAAAAAGGATGCAAAAACTTAGATTTACATTAAATAACTTGTGGCCGAGTTGACTTGTGGCCGAGTTGACTTGTGGCCGAGTTGGCTGTAGCCGAACTTTTTGTGGCAGAGTTGATTTGTGGCCGAGTTGACTTGTGGCCAAGTTGACTTGTGGCCGAGTTGACTTGTGGCCGAGTTGACTTGTGGCCGAGTTGACTTGTGGCCGAGTTGACCTGCACCCTACAAATCATCATGTTGGTCGCGCTTCGTTTCGTTGCACCTCACTTCGGTTGCGGTTTGTTTTTAACAAAATGGAGCGCCAATGGAGTTTCGAAAATGCTAAATTTAATATACTAGGTGATGTTTGGTGACTCCTCTGATTCTATGCTTTCAAGGTAGCCTATAATTTAGGCCTACTGTAGGTCCTAGGCCTAGAGCTTAATTTATCAATTGTGTAACTGTGTTTTCTTTTCTGTTAAATTTGGTATTATCCTGACCTATTAGGCTACTACTAGGCCTAGCCTGCCTACAGTAGGCCTACTACATCTTAGTTTAGTACTAGTAGTATAGAGAGAGGGCGGGAATACAGATCATTTTGGTCGCGCTTCGTTTCGGTGCGCCTCACTTCGGTTGCGCTTCATTTCGGTCGCGGTTTATTTTTAACAAAATGAAGCGCCAATGGAGTTTCGAAAATGCTAAAATATACTAGGCCTAATTATCATTATAAGTTCGTCAATCAGTTTATCATCCTTTTTTTATAGACAGTAATGTTTTGTTGTCTTTCTACTAAGTAACGGCATAGGCTACTTAATTAAAAGCAAATAAAATGAATACTATTATTACTAAACTAACTTTCAATTAATATTATGGTATTTATAGGTTATTTTCTAGTTCGTTGCATTCCTAGTACCATTTTGCTCTTTTATTGGACGGTTTTTATTTTCGCTTGTCATCGGTCCTACGCTTCCTACTACATAACAACTAAGACTAAGAGGTGATTTGATTGAAACTTTCAAAATTATAAAAGGTTTTGACAAGATGGAGAGAGGCCAGTTTTTCCATCTTCGCCAAGAAAATACAAATAGAGGACATCCCTGGAATATTTAACTATGCATCCAGGGGTACAGATCCTAAGGTTCGCAACCCCACCTACAGTATGCCTACAATTTAAATTTTGTACATGAAGAACAAAATAAATAAATGTGTTGCCTAGGGCCTATCTCCAACATAGGAAATTAAACATGAAAATTAAACCTAATTTCTCGATGGTACCTGAATTTTTGTGACTCCAGTCTAGGGCCCCAACAGGAGGCAGGGGTGGATCCAGAGATATGTCTGAAAAAGGGAGGGGGTGTGTGGGGAGACTCGAGATAACACACTCCAGTGGGTCTTGGTTCATGCCCCAACAAAATTTTTGTTTTCTAGACGTCCGAAAACAACTTCTGAGGCGTTTTGGGCGATCATTTCTTTATTTTTCTTCCTTTCTTTTATTTTATTTTTTTTTTACATTCCCCCTTCTCCCCCCCCTAAATCCGTCCCTAGGACGTTTCATGTTCAATTTTGTGATCGCGAATCCCAACTCGATGGCGGGTATTCCTCGAATTGTCCAATTACTTTTATTAGTATTTGATTACTATTCAGTTTTTAAGAGTTGAAACAACATCTTTTTTAAGTGGAAGAATGCCAGCGATTAAAATAATTTGTTTTTTATTGGAGGTAAATTCAGCTAGGCTCTAGCGCGATAGACCACGCTGCTGCACTGTTGGTTTGTGCTAGGCCTGGTCGCAGTCAGCCTATCGGCGCTCAATGGCAGGCGATAGCTAGGCCTTGGTGTTGGAAACTGACACCCAATCTAGTTTACAAATTTTTCAATTTACGAACACCCCTTGGTAGCAAAGGGTACCGTACGTAAAATGGACATTTTACTGTATAATCCTTCCTGACGATTATATGATACACTGTAGGCCTTCGATAGCCAAGGCTTTTCGACCGTAATTTTCATTGTTTACAATTTTCATTGCCATGCATGATCGCGTTAGCTTGAGTTGCGCATACTTAATTGTTGCATAAAATAGTTTGATTTTTCCTATTTTATTTCATACCCTCTTCACAGACGCTGTTTAGTTCATGAGATGTCTTTTTGATAACTGCGCATGCTTGGCAGGGCTCGACAACATCACTTACCCGGTGCACATGCTTACTGGCTGTCTAGCCTTTCCAAGCGCATACTCGCTGTGTTTTTTATACATATTTCACAGATGTTCTTTGGTAACTGCACTTGGGCATTGATTAGTTCGAAATCCCCACTCCGTAGTAAAAGCTACTCCTACCTACAGTTTCTTAATGACGATTTCCTCTTGATCGTAGCAGCCTAAAGGTGTGGAAAGAAAAAACATAAAATTGAGGTCGCAGGTCAAATCAAATTTCCAGTACCCCTACATCATGTTCAACCGTAGGGACTATATCCACCTGTAGAATTTTGCGCACCACCCTTTAAATTTTGAGGACGACTTTTTTTTTTGAAATTCTACCACTTTTTCAAAAAATTTTGGCAAAAGCGGGCTGTGGTGATATTAACCATTGACCATTGAGTTTCCCATACTTTTTTCCAGGGTACTGGAGCAACTTGTTGACATATATGGTGCAATTAGAGAGAAGAAAGCAATTGAGTCTGCGGTGATTAAAGACTGCAAAACTCTCCTCAAGCCATGGCCAAGAAATAAGAAAAAAATTAAAAAGGTGCAGGATGACACCCAGGAAGTTGTTAAAGACCAAGAAAAAGGGAAGGGGAAAGAAGATATGGAAGCATTGATACTTAGTGAAGTTGAACTAATGTTGGCAAAAGCACAGAATGCAAGGGATGTACTTGCTAAGGTATATCAATAATGTATTTTCAGCTTCCTCATGTGTTTGATGGAATGACACAAAATTGTATAAATAATATATTTGTTGGTACTGTAACTTTTGTACTGCAGTGTAAATTTTTAATGCTGGTGCTGTAAAGATACCATGTTTCTCTTTGAAAATTTTTAATCCAAGTAAAATTACTAATTTTTAAAATATTTAGTGTTCAGCATTCATATTTATAGACTAGGCAAAAATTCCAAAAATGTGCTTATTTAAGGTACTAGGGGAAAATAGTTTTAATTTATGGCACACAGCTTTTTAGGGGTTTTGAGGGGTGCTGAACCTAAATCTGTTGTATGTCAAGCTCAAAAATGACTTGGCAAGCTTCCAACTCCAAGATGGCTGCCAAATTTTGATATTTTGCCATAACCCACAATATTCCACATATAATTATTTGATGAGTTAGGGCATACAGTGGCAAATTCAAATTCAGCAACCAGCAGTTTGCAGAAATCTAAGATGGCCGCTAAATTTTAATATTGCCAGTAACTCCCATTTATATTCCATAGAACAACATTTTTTTATTCTATTCTGTGATTTTAGTGGTCAGGGCATACATTGGAACCACCAAAAGTTAATGTCAGCCCATAGCAGATACAGAAATCCAAGATGGCTACCAAAATGGCCATCCAATTGACTGCTAAATGTTTATATTAATTATTATAAAGTACTCCACAAAGAACAACAGTTTTTGTAGTCTATATTATGATTTGAGAAATCGGCCCCACAGTACCACCACTAAAATTCAAACTTTAAAATATTCAAAATGAATGCGGGGTGGCAGCAGCGAGGCGGCCGGGTACCAGTGCCTCTTGTTGTGGAGTGCTGGGGGCCCCCCTTTGAAACCCCTAAATTGTCAATTGACCGAATGAGCGATCGACGCTGTTAAGCTATAGTAAGTATTCGACCAAAACAATCGCACGAAGATAGGCGATTTACACAGTGAATCATGGCGTCGGTCGATGAATGTGCTTGAGCTAAGTTATTCAAATGAATAATGTTCCTAAATTCACACCAATAACTTTGGCAGACTGGATGTTTAAACAAGTAAAAGACTTGACGACAGCACGGAGCTGAATGTTTACAGTCAGGCCTCACTCAATCATCACATCCAGCCATGTCGCGTTGTCGTGCAACAAGTGTCAGGGGCCAAGGCCTAGCCTGTAAAAACTCTACGTATATTTAACTTAATTTTACATGAAATTCAAATCAAACGTCTTCTGATGGATCTATGAACTTTCCTTAAACTACCAATGTTTTAAAAGTATTGTACTCGCGTACTTTGGTTTTTTTGCTTGTTTTCCTGGACCATGCAGAAACTCGCAACTTTATAGAATAGGACTTGTAGGCTTTGTTTACAATTTTATACACACTCAGCCAAATTGTGATGACGTCATCTTTCGTCGCTAATTCGGTCTATTTTTCACCCCTGAATCACTTTTTAAACATTTTGAGCAATGCCTGACCACACCCACTTTGCTTTTGTTGGGGATATTTCCCCCTCCCCATGTGGACCGCAGACCCCCTCCCTGTCTGGCAAATCCTGATGCCACCCTTAAATGGCCGCCAAAATGGCTGCCAAATTTTTAAATTAAACATAACTTCCATAAATATTCAACATTGAACAACATTTTTTGGATCTATACTATGGTTTGTTAGTGTAATACCACGTAGAGCCGAGTGGATTTGTGCACTCTATAAATCTTATTATTATTATTATATTATTATTACGAGTGTTGTCATTTACATTTGCAAGACGCTTGTGTTGTCGGCAAAATGGCTGTCAATCTTAATTTTCTTGGCCATATTCACCATACCAGCAGTGAATCCAGGAATTTTAAAATAGTAAGAGACGGGAGGAGGGAATTTTACAGGTATGTTTCTAAACTGCAGCCCTACCAAATTTGTACGGGGCGCCGTTTGGGACATGTATAATTATGTTACAATTTAGCCATTCTGTAGACACAATTTTTACTTTAAAGAAGTTCTGTAACTTCAGAAGAAATTGTGTATACAGAATTTCTTTGCAGTAAAAATTGTGTTCACAGAATTTTATTCTGTAACTACAAACTTACATTCTGTCTACACAATTTCTTCAGGGAAAAAATTCTATGGACAGAATTTTATCCCTGAAGAAATTGTGTAATCATGCATGAACAGCGATGGCCAATCAAATGTACAGAAAGTTTTAATGCAAATTAGGTGTGGAGCTATTTTTTTGTTTTTACAACATAAGGAATATTCCACTGGTGGTTACAGTGGTAATAACACAGTGTAACAAACCTATTCACAATCTATGCTTAGCAGGATCCATTTTTAATTCAGGTGACTATTTTTTTTTTCTTTTTTNAGGTGTCTATTTTTTTTTTTTTTTTTTTTTTTTTTTTTTCTAGTTTTACATCAATCCTGATTTTTTTGTCTTCAGGTAGGCCTAGTAAGTAACTGTCTTAACAATATTAGTACTGTATACTGTACCTGACCTAGGCTAGGGGCCTAGGCCTAGTTAGGCTTAGGAAAGCCCCCCCCCCACCTCTCTAGACCAGGCCTAGCCTAGCTAGCCTAGGGCCTAGCCGCAGAGCTAGGCCCTAACATTACCAAATAGTTATTAATTATACTCTATGTATATTCGAATCCTTTCCTGAATAAAAACACTTTTCATGGTTACCCACTTCACAGACCTGATTTTTTTCTTTTTTACTGTAATATTGTATACTGCCATATCCATTGGTAGGTCTAGTAAAATCAGATTGTGTAAGCCGGTCAAATGATAGGGAATTACCCATTGATACAGAATTACCCAAATGATACCTAAATAAATGATACGGAATTACTCTATTGTAAATTATTGAATACGACTACATAACAATACATTGTAATAAAAATGTCATTTAAAAAAAAATATTTATGATTATTATTATTATTATTATTATTATTATTGTTATTATTATTATTATTATCATCATAGTATTACTATTATTATTCAGGAGTTTGTAGGGGGCAAGTTGGTAAGGGGCGAGTTTTTGAGGGGGAGGGGCATCCCCATAGGCTAGTAGTAGTACTGTGCTGCCTAGCTCCTAGGAGGCCTAGGCTAGGACTTTTTAGAGCTGACAGTAGGCCAGGTAGGTAGGCCTATGCTAACAATGAGAAAAAAAAATCACAGACAGGCCTAGGCCTATAACAGATATTTGTAGACCGATTCCTGAGAACAGAATAAATAAAAGAGAAAAGTGACATTGATTTGTCAATAACCTCTCCTCCTAACCTCTCTAAGGCCCAAGTAGGGCCTAGGCTCTGCGGCTAGGCCTGGTCTAGAGAGGTTGGGGGGGGGCCTCCTTTCCTAAGCCTAACTAGGCCTAGGCCCCTAGCCTAGGTCAGGTACAGTATACAGTACTAATATTGTAAGAAAGTTGCTTACTAGGCCTACCTGAAAACAAAAAATTCAGGAATGATGTAAAACTAGAAAAAAAAAACAAAAAAATAACAAAAAAACAAAAAAAACTAGTCACCTGAAAAGATTGTTAATAGGTTTGTTACACTGTGTTATTACCACTGTAACCACCAGTGGAATATTCCTTATGTTGTAAAAACAAAAAAATAGCTCCACACCTAATTTGCATTAAAACTTTCTGTACATTTGATTGGCCATCGCTGTTCATGCATGATTACACAATTTCTTCAGGGAAAAAATTATGTGGACAGAATTTTATCTCTGAAGAATTTCTGTCTACACAATTTCTCCAGGGAAAAAATTCTGTCCAGAATTTTATCTCCGAAAAAATTCTGTGGACAGAATTTTTTCCCTGAAGAAATTGTGGAGACAGAATTTAAGTTTGTAGTTACAGAATAAAATTCTGTGAACACAATTTTTACTGTAAAGAAATTTTGTATACACAATTTCTTCTGAAGTTACAGAATTTTTTTAAAGTAAAAATTGTGTCTACAGAATGGCTAAATTGTAACATAAATTATACATGTCCCAAACAGTGCCCCGTAAATTGGGGCTGAAACATAAAATTTGCCTGAGGCACCTCTAGATGGCCAGAAATGTCACTCTCAAGCTTAGAGAAAAGATGGTCTGAAAGTTAGATGCAGTACACAAATTTGACAAATCAAATTTAACTATTGATGTCATTCAGGAGAATATGTCAAATGTCAACTGATTGTTTTCAAGATTCAGTTGATTTCAGGGCTGTTGTGTTGCATTCGTGCAAAACTGATGTTGATTATCTTTTACTTTTGGGTGATGCCAACATTGCAGGTTTTATGGGTTGGCATGTCTGTTGTGGAATGATAATAACCATGTTAATAAATAAATAATGATATGAATGATAATAAATGCAACATTTTAATACTCAATTTGTATTTTTTTATTTAAGATGCATTAAAGTTTTCAGGCATTTGCTCTTTATGTCGAAGGTGAAACTTGAAAGCTTTTTTAAAATCAAATATGCAATTACTTGCCATCCAGTTAATGGTCTACTGTACCACGATTGTTTTAACTATTTTGGTGAATCCTTCAAATTATTCTGATTTGTACTATTGGCCTCAAATATATTTGGGATCTGTAAGCTAATTAAACGTATGAATACTTTACTATCGTCTTGAGCAATGAATCTTGTAAAAAAGACCAAATGGTGATTTTTCTCTAGTGGAAGCCACAGTCACAATCTGATTTGCTATATTACTTTATCAAATCTTTGGACCAACTTTTCTCCAAGTTTATCATTTGTTCCTTTTCTACTAGTATTGGTGTATTCTCCAACAGGCTCAATGTTGGATGGCTTTAAAAAGCACTCGAGTCTAATATGTCAAATAGTTTGGTGGAGTCAATTACCTCTTGAAACAACTCATGTGACTGTTGGAGAATACACCAATACCAGTAGAGCTTTTCATCAAATAAGTTTCCTGTCTCACAAAGACCTCTTCAGTTCATCTTTGTGGTTCAAGGCACTCATTTGATGGTAGATTCTACTGCTATTAGTGTACTCTGCAACAGTAGCAATGTTGGGTATTGTAAAATGGTAGTCCACCAAACTAGTTTCTCTTACATCATCTTTTCCAACTGCTCTTCAGTTCGTCTTCGTGGGGCAGGACACTCATTTGATGATAGGTTCTACTAGTATTGCTGTATTCTCCAACAGTTACAAAGTTTGGTTGTGGGTTTCTCTGTACATCGTATTTTCCAACTGCTCTTCAGTTCATCTTTGTGGGGCAGGACACTTATACCCCTTTCAGACAGACCTGCAAAACGGTATTAATACCGTATTAATCGAACGCCGGCGTTCTATGTGAACGGGTAAATACGCCTAAACGCCGGCTTCAGTTAGACCTCCTCGGGACCTTGTCTTAATACCGCATTAATACCGTAGCAAGTTTTGCCCAACTCGATGTGAAAGGGTACAGGGTTCATCGCCGTCTTACGCACTGAGGCATAACAAATCAGACGGTCACACGAGCAGTCATCAACCGCTGCTGCAGCTAACAAAGCCGATGAAATCGCTAGCTGACGGTTCTTTTAGACGCGAAAATCGCCTGCACCTAGCTGCTCGAAATTCAAGCCGGCCTCGCCTTAAACGCTTCCTAAATTCTTTCGTCCCTTGAACGAAACGCATTAAAAACCTTCTGTTTCTCAATTTATATGTATTGCAAACATAGCAAGCATTAAAAAACATTTGCAAAGCAGCAGTTTTATGACTTCATCCCCGGCCATATTGGATTAAAGGAGTAAACAAAAACTTGCGCCCACTTTGTTAACAAGCACAAGCGCCACAGACATCAAATACTCTTTTCCGCGAGAACCCTTTCAGACAGGATATGGTATTATTACCGTATTTTAACTAGCTGTGTGAAAGGGTCTGCGCCGGCAATAACGGCGGCGTGATTAGGGTATTATTGCGGTATTTTCTGTCTGAAAGGGGCTTTATTTGATGATAGGTTTTACTAGTATTGCTGTATTCTCCAACAGTTACAAAGTTTGGTTGTGGAAAATAGTACCGGACTCCCAAAATTAGGGTAGTCCACCAAACTAGTTTCTCCTACAAGTCATCTGATTTCTGTCTTTTCCACCTGCTCTTCAGTATTACTTGCGGGCGAGGACACTCTGATATTTCCGTTGGTATTGGTGTATTCTTCAGTGTAGTGTTGTGGAAAATGGAACTTTGACTACCAATATCAAACAGGGTAGTTCACCAAGCTAGTTTCTCATGATACACCCCACAAACCATAACTGTTGTCCAATGTGGAATATTATGGAAGTTGTTTAAATTTTAAAATCTTAGATTTTTGCAAAATTTGCCTTTTGGTGGTGCAACTGTATGCTCACCTAACAATATCATCTCAAATCAGAGACTAAAAAAAGCAACTGTTCTATGGATTATTAACCCTTACCAGTCGTATGGCGCCCTCCTCAACCATACTTTATAGACAGGAACGTTGTACGTACGCCCTGTATAGCTTTCATGATAATTATTTTATAGCTAGGCTGCCCTCTAAAGGATTTTTTGAGTGTGATGTAGGAGTATCTCTGTAGAGGGCTTCCTGTACCAAATAATGCCTGTGCCCAGTAAAAACCCATCATTTAGTGTAGATGATATAATTTCTTAGGTTTAGGTACAGCCTCAGGCAATGGTAATGGGGCAGACTGGAAAGGGTTAAGGGAGTGAATGGTCAATATTAAAATTTGGCATTCATCTTGGATTTCTGCAACTGCTAATGACTGAAATTGAGTTTAGATTGTGCTACTGTCTCAAATCACAGAATTGATTTGATCGTTATTATTCAATGTATTCGCCCCCTGCCCGCTTTGCGGTGCAATAAACAAACAGCCATTTTAAATTTGAATGTCGCCAATGATTTGTAGGATGTGACTTTTGGTATCTTGCATCATCTTTTGGTTAATTCTGGAAAACTCCAGGTGTGCAATATTAAAATTTGATGGCCATTTTGGTGGCCATCTTGTATTTCTGCAACCGCTAATGGCTGAACTTGAGAATACAGTAGACTAAAAAACTGTTGTTCTATGTGGAATATTATTATGGCAGATATCCAAATTTTTGCTGCAATATTGTATTTGGAGGCTTTCAAGTCATTTTTTAGCTTGGCATACAGCAGATTTAAATTCAGTACCCCTCAAAACCCATGAAAAGCTTGTATGCCATAAATTAACACAATTTGCCTTTGAAAGTCATATTTTTGGAAAATATATATATTTCTATTCAGACTGATCAGGGAAATGAACAAAAGACCAAAGGAATTACAGCACGAAAACAGGAATCAAAAACTTTGCGAAAAGAACAAGGAATTAATAATGAAAGAGTTGAGACACACAGTGAAGAGCAGTATAGAAAAGAAACCTCCCAGTCAGGATCCCAGTTACTTCAGTTACCAAACACATCCACAAAATCTGCTGTTCCAAACAAAAAAATTAAAGGAGCAGCAACAGGACTATCAAACAAAGACAGTTCCATAAAGATCTTAGAAACAGAATTAAAGCACTTGAACAGTAAACTATCAAAGGTTAAAATTTCTTCATCGTTTAGTAATCATTATTCAACTTCCTCCTCTGAAATTGGAAAGTACAGTAAAAGACCTAGTTCAGAGGTCACCAGCAGTTGTTCTCGTAAATCTTTGTTGTCAAAATCAGGCAATGAGAGGAGAAGGGTTTCTGCTGCTAACACTAGCAAGCAGCGTAGAGCTGATGAAAAGATAAGGACTGGAACTACTAACACTAACAAGCGACTTACAATTAGAGGGAATAAAACTGCGCACAATGCACAAGTCCTCGCTAGAAAAATAATGAAAAGCGCCCCAAGTCGTTTTCAGGTTGGGAATGAAGAAAGTTCTAGGTGTAAATCAGCAGGGGCAGATGATGTGAAAAAGAAGAGTTGTAAGCCCTCTAAGGGATTTAGTTCAAGTTTGGGAAATGCTACGGTTAAGAATGAAAGTGATTCTCAAGATGATGAATTGCTGGATGTTGATGAAGAAGGTGATGAGCCACCATTTTTATTGAAAACTGATGGGTAAGTAAAATGTTTAATATATTAAAAGACTAAATTAAAAAGATGAACTTGTTAAGCCTACACATGATTTTTTACATGCCTCTGATTTTTTTTATAACTTTAGAATTCGACAGGAAGTCTTTTATCAAAAAAAAAAAAACACATTATTTTTGGAAATTATCTTGCCAGTATGTACTTATTATAAGAATGTGGCAGCATTGTATACTTTAGTATAGAGATGTCATAATACCCATCATTTTAAATTTATAATGGGAAAAATATGAATATATTAAAAAAATTGATTTTTATTTTTTGGTCACTGGCAATCCTTATTTGAATCCATTGAGGAGGTCTTAAGATACTCTTCTTTTGTTTTCTAGCACCAAATTGAGTTTTCCATTACATTTCCAAAGACTTTACAATACCCAGGAAGTTCTTATCAACAAAGTGTCGGAGGTATTCTCAGGATCCAAACCTACGACCGCATGTCAGCATTTCCTTGAGCGTGTCAACTCAAAGGTACATTAGTATTCAAAGATTTTTAAACAGTTTTATATTCCTAGCACCGTTTTCTGGGAAGGAGTTTAAAAATGTAGCAGATAAAAACTCTCAAATTTATGAACTCGACTTGCCTTTCACCGAATTGTTCACAAATGAGCACATTTCATGGAGTAAAGAAATACCATGGTGTGACACATAACTAACCAAACTGAACACCTGACCATGTGCTTTGCTATGTTCTCTGCCTAAGAAAATAAGTATGGCATTAAATAGAATACATATTTTGAGATCTTGTGGTACGTGATACTGTATTTGTTTCAGGTCAGGCTCGTACTTTTTAAAATACTTTTGAAGGTAAAGAATTATGATTTATAATGTTTTAGAGAATCTAATGAGGCCTAGGCTAGTGTTTTGTGACTCTGACCAACTCTATATAATAATAAAAATAATAATAATAATACTGTCATCTTATTTGGCACACGTATCATCTCTAACACCTGCTTGCGGCGCCGTTTTCCACCTGCAAAGTAGTCTTTGTTTATTTTTTCAATTTTTTTTTTGTGTAAAACTGAGAGTGAAACGGATGGGTTGACAGGCAAAGTAAAGATGCAATTACTCTTTGGGTCACCATCTATCACCACTCTGACGGAGAGTGATGATGTGAGTGGTATGAACATGTGCATGCAGCTACCAATGTTGTACATACCAGTGGTTAAATTTAGCTAGAGCCCTTGTTAATTTTCAAATGTTTTTTTTGTTTTGATAATGTCTTAATTGTTAAAAGTGTTAATTAAACATTAATACCAAAACATGATTATTTCTGTTATACAAACAGCTATCCTGTGTGGACTTTATTTCAGATGAATCGTCTATTTAATTTTGCCTTAGTTTTCGTGATTGTTGTGATTTTCATTTTTTCTAAAAAGTTTTTTTTTCTCGTGTGGGCAGGTGGTCTTGAAAAAATTCCACCTGGGCGGTGGATAGGATATAAACTATTTTTAAAAATTTTACTTTACTTTACTTTAGTTGATTTTAGAAACATAAGCAGAGCTTATACATCCATCATAATTGTTATTTCAGGTCATATTGCAATATAATTAAAATGTAATGGGTGATTTCAACAAATAAAAAAAAAAACAAACAACAAACAAAGCAAATAAATAATATAAAAATAAAATAAAAAATAAATAGAATAAAAATAAATAAATAAAATAAAATCCCCCAAGTTGGCCAGTCTCCTGCAAAATTGTGTTTATTAAGACATTTTTAGCCTCTCCACTTAAATCGTGGTGGTAAACACAACTCAAATTCAGTGATGTCAAGCTTTATTCCTCAAAATCAGAAGCAATTAAATCCAAAATTGAGCAATTTAAAGAGCAACACCACGAGGAGATGCACATTTACGGAGAAGAGTTGACAACCAATGAGTACAGTAGCTCGACTTTCTGAACTTCAAATTTTTAATAAAGTGTTTTTGATAAATCTCAGAAAAATTATGAGACAAATTCTTGATTTGTGCTCGTCACGCTTCTTTAAAGTAAGTGGTCACAATTCGTATAAATAAATAACAGATAGATTATCCAACAAAGCAAAAAACAAACATCCTTCTCTAAGAAAATCGATAATGTTATTGCAATTATCACTTTTTGCCATAAATAATCAAATTAACTTAATCTCCTTCAAAGTAATTGTTGTGTAAATACAGTATTTTTTCAGTAATAATGTAAATTAAGTTCCTCTTTAAACATTTTAGCTCTCTACAGAATTTTTTTTGCAATACCAATGGCACTGACTATATCTCCAGAAATTATAGTTGTTTCTAAAGTTTTCTGGAGAGCTCCTGTTCCCTTGCTTTCCAAATTTTTGCTGCTTTTAACATTTCAAATTTAGTATGGTCCTTGACAATACCCCTTATTTTCAATGACAGGTCTAATCTTATGAGGGATTTGGGACCCATGTGGTATATGGCCTTTAAAATAAACCTTTGTTCAAGATGAAGTGTGCTGCTTAGAACTTCTTTACTTGAGGCTACGGTCACACTAGAGTTTCAAGCCTGGCTTGACTCACCGCATCTGCACCAACTCGCGCCTGGCGTGACCTCGATCTCAATCTACCTATCTCGATCCCGGCTCTGCACCCATATTGACCTTGGATTGACCCTGGCGTGACCGAGATTGACATTTCCTCGTCGGCTGTCGACCAGTCACAGTCCATGACGCCGTTGCGTTTAGAAGTTATCGAATAAAAAACCTGCGAGTTCTTCATGTGTGTTCAATCAAGACGCAATCATTACTTTTCATAAAAGTTAATTCAAATTTTAATTAATAATAATGCGATTGATTTGGAGCGACCAGGAAACTGCTGACCTGGTAGATTTGTGGGGCCAACCCGAGTTGAGAGACCGGATGGAAAATAAAAAAACAAACAACAAAACGAGAATTTTTGGCGTGCTTGCTGACAGATTAGCCAGTCTCGGACATGAGATCAATCCAACTAGTGTGACCGACCCAGAATTTTGAGCCTGGCTTGAAATCCCACCCGCGGTGAGTCAAGCCAGGCTTGAGACGCTAGTGTGACCATAGCCTGAGTTGTGTTTATTCCTTTTTTAAGAATTTAGTTAATTATTCTCAGACATCTCAAAGAATATCAAATTACCTCTTAGTTTAAATCTCTCATGTAGTTCAGTGATGTCTTCCTTAAGGGTATCAACTTCTTGAGTCAATTCACCTACTGGTTTGTTCATGCCAGTTTATAGTAAGTGTAGTTAAGTGCAGCTAGTCTGTCCTGGGTAAGACGTAAAACTGCATCCGGTTGAGCTGCCGTCGACTAATCTAACAACCCCATTTTGTGGCCTTTAGCAGCCATTGAAGTAGGAGGGTGTCATGGTCACTCCGCAGCAATAACAACAGCTGAACTGAGGGCAGATGAACTCTCCAGAGTCAATTCAATTCAAATTCAAATTTAAATTCTGGAAAAACATAACAAGAACATGATGCTGCCTTTCAAGGATTGCCAAAAAGTTATTAAAAAAAAAACAAAAAAACTATCAAGTGACTTTTAGAACACTATTTTATTTAAACAAGAATATAGAGTCAACAGCCAACCACACTTTGTTTAAGGAGTAGGCATAATTCAGGGATTATAAGCTCAAACAAAGGTCAAGCGCATGGAGGCTATATGCATTATGAGCTTTATAAATCCATACTTATTATTATAATTAAAACAGTGAAGTTAGAGTACTAGACTAGAGCATAAGCTACCAGTTAGATTACCTAGAGTAGTGGTTTGATGGAAAGGAGTTTGCAACTCATGGTTTTAATGCTAGATGGGGTACCAATATCATATAGACCTAATGTGTTATACATAATTATCCAATTGTTGCATTTATTAATATTTTTATGCCATTTTGTGTGTTTTTTTTAAGACGGCAGTGACAAAAGCAGGGTATGTTTCTCTCCCCAACCGCCCTATTTCCCTCCTTAAATCCGCCCCTGAATAATAATCTTTAATAGTTAATTGTAATTTGAAGGGTCGGATATTGCATCAAGTTACTTAATATCATACATTAGATCTGTGTTCATTTTATTTCATCAACAGTTACTGGGAAGAACTGAAGCAAGTTTTTCACTTTATGAACATGACATGAGGTACCAAAAACTGAAACAGGAGTATGAACAGCTAATCAGCACAGCAGACCAGCAGTTACTAGCCTTCCATCAAGTATCATTAGGTATGATTGGCTCCCTACTCACACCCAAATGCATTACCTTGCCTCATTCTCTTTTTCCTCATTCACACAGCAGTTTCATTTAGTGTATAAGCGAGACACCAACTGTTTAGAACACGCTTTTCATAGACGCGCTACGCTCAGCCTTTTCTTAGCTCTCGAACGCGGAAGTGGTTTTCGCCAACAAGATGTAGTGTTGTGTTGTGAAAGTAGCTGTTGAAACAGGCTTTATAAAATGCATTTTTTAATATTTAATGTATAAATCGACATTAATGCCTGGATTTAGAGTTGTTCGAAGGGGTAATTCTGCTATTAAATTAATAAAATACTTTACGTATCGCTTTAACCATGCTGTTAAAGTTCGTGTTCGGGCCGTTACATAATGTAAACATTAAATAAACAGTGCCCTCACATCGGCGTACGAATATTATCGATCTTTGCCGTTTTCTTGAAGAAAACCTGAATTTTTTACATCATTTAAATTGTATCATCATAAATTTCAACATATCATTTACCTATTAATTAAAAAAACAGAATGACGTCTTGTTTTTGAGTAAAACTAATATAAAAATCCCTCATATTTCCAAAACTTGCCTATGTGAATATAGCCAATCCTATACACACACAGCTGAGGTGAAAGTGGTTGGTCCCTAAATGCTCCTTGAAAACTTACTTTATATTTTCTGTATATGTATTCATTTCATCCAACTTTACTCTACTTTTCTAGAAGGCCTATGCACAGACTACTTTGAAATTGATATTAGGGCATAGGCTAGGCTTGGTATGGTACTGTAAGTATTGTCACTGCTGCTCATTGTGTATACTGTATTGTCAGTATGCTATTTACATCATCAAGCAACAACCAGGTGAAAGAGTACACCAAAACACAAATGATATACAGTATGTACATCCATTTAATAGCCAATTCAACATCAACATTATTTAATAATGATAATAATAATAATGATAACAATAATAATTATAATAATTCTGTACCATTCTTTTATCAAGATTGAAAATCATATACATTTATATAGGTCTACAAGAGTTTTAATAAATAATGAGGATGATGATGAATTAAGGTTTCTGTATTTGGAATACTGTACTAAGATTTTTTTTTCTCAACTGCCAAAAGTAGAATAATGAATGTTACCTTATAGTAAATTAAACAGAAGGCAGCAGTTTTGATGGTTACATAAACTTACACAGCAACCGTATACTATCAGTGAGATTGCTAAAAAGTAGGGAATCAAATGTTAGACCGGTTATGCAACGGTTATGCATATCGACAATAACAAAAATATTTGGTGTAAATAATAATAAAACATCCTATTTATAAACACCAAATTTTACGAATATTCTGTTTCATATAATTCAGTTATTCATGTTTTCAACGAGACATCTATATTAACCTTCAGTGCATGTTTATACTCGGACTGTATACATTTTTTTTATAAGAACCTTCTATAATTTATATATTCTATAATTTTGCTTAGATTCAAAATGTTCTTATTTTGTTATTATTATACATACTTAATTCAAAGATAGATACTGTAATTATTATTGTATATAGGGTATTACATAGTCACACCTACTGCACATATGTAAGGTTAAGATTGGTTGGTTTTTATGTACTCAAGAAATATAAACATTTTTTGAAAATTCACCTCAGCCACAATTTGTTCTTATTTTGTTCACATTTAAAGCATACCTTTTCTTAATCTGGATATGGAGTACTTAGGTTTATTTTAATAAAAGAAACATTATAATCTTAGCATAATTGGCAAAAAGATGTACAGTACCGGACAGTTTTATTGCAAAAATCCCAACGCGTTTTACCCGTTGTCGTTGCGTTGCGTTTGCGTTGAGTTGCGTTGCGTTGAAATGAACGTTGAGAGTACATTGTTTATTTAACGATGTCGTGTTCGCGTGTCAATAATTGGTGATAGTTAATTCAACGCCCTAACTTATCT